AATGTCTCTACTTTAGAAAATTATTGTTTATAAATATATGTAAGTTTTTCGCACCCAATGCAAAAATTGAAATACTCTAGGAGTTCCAAACAACTGTTCGGCCCATTCGTCGGGATAATTGTTCACTACCTGCTCTGCATGTATCCAGTTTTTGGGTGCGGTCTTAAAGTAAAAAAGCAATTTCAAAATCTTCTGAAAATGTATGTCGTATAATCAAGCAAATACTAAAATAAATGCCTTGCCCCACTGTATATATTCGTATATATATATTACAGCCAGAACAAAAATAATTGTGCCGGGGGCTTTCCCGTTATAAGTGATTTTCAAATAAATTTGTTTTCTACAACGAAATCTTTAGATGCAGTCCAGACGCGAGAGTTAAGCAAATACAGATTCTGGCTTACTTACTTTGTTGTAGTACACAAGGTAAATAAACAAATTAAAACGTAAATTATGGTTAAGTTAAAACGTATTATTTTCGGGCCATAAAATGTATGCGGTCATGTGCATTTGATATTCAAATAGTCTATTTGACATTGACTGCCAATGTGTGTTGTTGTGATTTTGTATTTGTCACTTGAACAAAATAACACGAGTATGAATTCGAGTGGAACTTGGTTCAGTTCATTTCTTAATGTGTTAGAAAAAAATAAGCATGGGTTAACAATTCAAATAACTAGGTTCACGTTTTCTCTTATGGGATACCATATTGCCATTACAGGTCATCAGGGGCTTACCAAAAGCTAAGGTGATTCGATGCAATTTTGTAAAACATGCATTCGCTTACAATTAAATTAACTTTCATGAAAAAAAGCATTATTTACTTTTTAGTAACTTAAGAAGTAAACAAATAGTAAGTTCGGCCGGGACGAACTTTTGATTCCCTCCCATGATATATACAAAGGCAGTTAGACTCTCATTATAAACTTCAAATACAAAATTTCTGACTATTCCGTTGAAAAAAAGGGGTGAAATGCTCAAAATGAGGTGGTACCGTTACATAACCGTTAGGAACATATAACAGCCTTTAAATTTTAACCAACTCTTCGAAAATGTGCAGAAAATCGCCGAAAAGCTTAAAACGAGGAGGTTCCATTTTATGGGGGCAATACGAAAAAGTTGGCCGATAAAGCCGTTCATGAATATACAAACTTGGTTGCATGCATGGTACAATGAAGAGAAGGTAGGCCAACTTTGAAAAAATTGCAAGTATAGAGGTCTACCTGTTTGGCTTGTAAGGTCAGAATTAGTATCAAAACAATAAAAAAAAATCAAACAACTTGTTGCATTTATTTTGAATAAATAATTGAAAACCGCGAAAACTGAATGAAAGGTCAACACTTCTTTTCAAAACCATGTTCTATGTATCTCTAAAGGATTATTTCGCTACAAAAACTCTAGATTTTGTCGATGCATACTATGAAATAAACATTTTGAAAACACCCGAATTTGAATATTTTCTGAACAAGTTTTTTGTTATTTAAAAAAAAAAACACATACATAAACAAATAAAGATGACATATTAAGCCAAGAAAACAAAAAATTAAAATCATATGGTATCATACCCCTACCTTGATATCATTGTACCATGCTTGGTTGGGTCTTAAATGATAACGGAATAATAAACATAATATACCTTCCATGGTAGAGGGTAAAAAAGTTTACAAATTATACTTTCTACTTCAAAAGGTGAAATATTAAAAGCATTGGAGAGCGTTTAATAATACCCATATTCCACCAACATTTCATCAATTGGAATTATAAATAGGAACAATACTCACCAAAATAGAAGAAACAAGTGGTATGATGGAATGTTGTAATCATGACTAATACTTATGTTGCAACGTATGCGAAGCTATTTTGTATATTAGTTACACAAAATGCACTGATTGATTTACTGAGGAAAATATTCAAAACAAAGCAACAATTTGTATATTTTTGATAGTTTTCAAAACGTCCAAAGTCGAAGCTTTTAAATGCCAGTACTTGAAATATTCAAATATTGTGTCCCATTTATTCCGATTTAAATATATAGCTAAGGCTTCCTATTTTACTTATTGAGATAGAAAGGTCCTAATAATATAGCGGATAATGAAACTGAATTTATTCCATTATTTAAACGTTACTTTTTGTCGAGATTTTTAATCAACGTCAAATATTTATAATTTTTTTTAATTTACCAAGAAATTATATAACAGTACAGGTATTCAAGTTTTGGCACGTCAAAATACCGCTTCAGATGTGCTTTTTGCTTCTTTTTAGTGTGTCGTAACAAACACATACGTATATGCAAATAATCGCTTCACCTTCAAACAAACTATTTACGAATAATCTGTTTTGAAAACCAAAACAATACACTACCCATTATTGGTTTTTAAAAATCGCTCCATTCTATTTTCACATGTGTGAGTCATTAGTGCCATTTATGCCAACGCTACGCTTAGATTTGTAAATGGAACAAAGTTTGAATTCATTTGAAAGTTGCGATATTCAAAAAGATCTGTCTACATTTCTATCAGAATGTTGTACGCAAATGTACAATAGAGAATAGTATCCAAAATGTTAATTGCTTTTTATACCCTCCACCATACTATGGAGGTTATATTAACTTTGTCATTCCGTTTTTAACTCCTCTAATCATGTTAGACCTAACAAAGTATATATATTCTTGATCAGCTTAAAATTCTATGTTGATTTTGCGATGTCCGTCTGTCTGTCTGTTGTAATCACGCTATCTTTCGAACGAAAAAATTTGCAGACATGTTTATTTTGCCAGTAGGCAGGTTGAGTTCGTAAATGGGCCATGTAGGTCCCTGTTTTCATTAGCCCCCATATAACGGTACCTCCCGATATTCGGTTTTTGATGATTTTAGCGACATTATTTACCGGGATTGTTTCAAATTTGGTATTTGAAGTTCCAAAGGGATACTCCAGCCTAAGACAGAAAATTGTCTGTGCAGGTCCACGTCTTCGTATAGCCCACATATAACGGTAACTCCCGATATTCGGTTTTTGATGATTTTAGCGACGTTATTCACCGAAATCTCTTTCAAATTTGGTATTTGAAGTTCGTAATGGATATACAGCCTATAACACGTCTTTGCATAACACCCATACAACTGTACCTCCCTATGTACGGTATTTTAATGATTATAGCGACATTATTCACCGGAATGGTTTCAAATTTGGTATTTTAAGTTCGTATTGGATACTACAGCTTATGACAGAAAATTGTCTTTGCAGGTCCACGTTTTCGTATAGCCTCCATATAACGGTACCTTCCAAAATGCCGTATTTTGATGACTTTAGCGACATTATTCACAGGAATTGCTTCAAATTTGGTATTTGAAGTTCGTAATGGATACTACAGTCTAAGACAGAAAATTGTCTGTGCAGGTCCTCGTTTTGGTATAGCCACGGTACCTCCCTATATTCGGCATTTTGACGATTTTAGCTACATTATTCCCCATTTTTTTCAGCTTTCGCATTTTAATATTGTAATGGCTTATGACAAAGTTGCCTATGCAGGTCCGCGTCGTCGTACAGACCCTAATATAACGGCAACATTCAGTAGTTTTAAGATTTTAACAGAATTTTTATTTTTTTTTTTTATTTTCCAAATGTTGGAGGGTATTCAAAGTTCCGCTTGGCCGAACTTACAGCTTTTTTACTTGTTAAAGTAACCCTTTGTAATATTTTCCAATTCCAAACATTCACATTTTTGTATTATTTTTCAAACACACAAAAAAGGAATTGTTCAATTGACATTGTTGAAATTGTTTAAAATTGAAATTTCGTGGGCCCGACGTTACTGGGAAACTCTCATATAAATACATCTGTTTAAATTGTGTGGTGAAAAACGTCGCTTAAATATTTTGGACGCTAAGGAAAAGTGGTATTCCTCCTGAATTTACATTATCTTGAACGTAGTAAGGTAAGCATGTTCCCATTGGTTAATAAGTTCTATTTAGGACTTATTAGACAGTTACAGTTTCTTAGAATTTGTTTTATCGAAACATATTTATTTGAAACATTTGGTTACAAAAAAAAATTAATACAAATCTTATTACCAATAAACAACTTAAATAATGCAGCAAAATTAATTTTTACAAAAAACTAATTATGAAAAGGAATCTAAAAAGCAAAAGCGTTACATTAATTTGTTTAGAAAGCTAACCAATCGCATTTGTTTAATTAAGAATCTAATATTAAAATAAATGAAATCCATTTTTCTATTAATGAGTATTTATTTAAAATTCGAATGGAAGAGAATAGTCGCTTTTACACACTCCATGGTGGATATGTACTTTGATTTCATGTTTCCGTTTGCAATCGATCGAAATAATCAGCTAGAAGATGGACTATGTTTCTTCACATTTACGAAATCTTCCAATTTAAGGTGTTTTTAAAGTTTTCACCTAATTTCATCGGCTCTACAAGTTTATATGTATTAACAATGTAGAATTACAGCTGATAGATGTGGATTTTACTCTTCTCTCTTCTAATATCGTAGACGCTGCAAACTACTTATAATTGGTTGTGGTCCACAGGAAAACGTAGGAATTTTATCGCTAATTTTTTGGCAAAGGGTTCGGTTCCTATTTAAAAATGTTAATATCTCAAGGAAGCGCTTTGTCTTTCCTTCAGCGTCTACTTCATAATCGGTGGTTATTTTCATGTAGCTAATTTTTGAGTGGTACAGTATAATAGTAAATATATTATTTACTCTAGGAAATGTTTGTATGCTCAGCATCTAATGGTTAACGTCATATTTTGTAGTTATTCGTTAATGTGGCCTCGGTTTGTTGCCTCTAATTTATATTGATTTTCATTCCTATTTTTTGTTAAGCATACATATTTATCTAGAGCTGCTGTGAAGAGCTCAGTGCCTTTTCCAAGCCATTTCTCAGTTGACTGGCTATGTAAACATAATTAAAATATTGCGCATATTAATAAGTATAATTAAGTGGCTGCTTTTTGTCTGTTTGGTTTATTTTTAGACATCTGAATTTTAGATCCACAGCATATTTGGATATTCACTGTTGCAAAGCAAAGGTAAGTTTGATTTGAATTAATGCTTAAATGATAAGGGCAATGAAGATACGTATAAAAAATACTCATTAAAGTTCATTCTTCCGCGAGTTTTACAATGTTTTCCTCAGCATATTGAATTGATATTTAAACGAAATTAAAAAATTTTGATTTTATTTGACACCTTAAAAATTAAATTCTGAAATATTTGTTTCCATATTAAAGCGTTATCTAAATACCAAGTAAAATACATGTACAATACAATACAATAAGGAGCTAGAACAGCTTCCTAAAACTACAGAAATACATCTCTGAGGCTATGCCCGCTTCCTTTCAGACTTATTCAAAATTGTATACAAAAAGTCGTTTTCATTTTTTTTATATTTTTCTAGATTTTTAAAAAGAATTAAATAGCGCGAAAAATTAAATAAATGCCTGGATTTTCTCCTAATAATATGATCCAAACTGTTCAAGCTTTCAATTTCATGGCTAAACTGGTTAATAGCTTTAATGCGCGAGCCGCAATGTACGTGTCTTTCAATCGTTGGTTTTCCAAATATTTTCTTTTTATTTTTCAAAACAATAAATACATACACAAATTGACAGAAATCGCCACATTTAGAAAAAAAATGTAATCAGGTGGTAGCTCTACCTTATATTTTTATTGTACCATGCATATATCTATATGAATGTTACCCAAATACGTCGGGCGTACAAAATTTCAAAGTTGAACATATTCAACATTGACAATTGAATTTTTGTGGGATGAAAATCGGAATGTAAATGGCATATATAACAATTGGATGAATGTTAAAACCTATCAATCTTTACAACGTTATAAGTCGGTGGATTTTAAGGTTTGGACCTGGCGCATTTGGGTAATACGGACGTTTATAAGAATTTACCGCATTGGGAAAATTGAAGATTTGTCTACGCTGCGTCGAATTTTATGTAGCGCTTTTGCTCGCCATTTATCTAAATGACAGAGACCATGGACGAACGACCTTCAAGGGAGAAAGCTGTGTTATAAGTGTGGAGGCACAACAATTTCTTCAAAAACGTAACACTAAAAACGTAATACTATTTTGCAAATATAATCCAGTAATAGTCCGACATCCCATTTTGTTTTTTATGTCCGAAAAATATCAAATCCTGTCTTAAAATCTCTCTTGCAGCGATAAATAAGGACTTTAAAAAACCTAAACACTGAAACAACAAATAACACATAAATCAATACAGATTTCTTGGCAATTGAACCATGCCGGCGCCATAAAAACGAGCCAATTTTTGCTAATTGCGATCAAATCACCTTTCCCCAATGAATTTACATTATCTTGAACAATAGTGTCGATAACAGTGACCAGTAATGACGAATAAATAACACAGAAATTCACGTGAGCTAAGTAAAGCAACAATAATGCCCATAAACAATACAAGAGTGTGTCTGTAAGCCACATGTATATGATAGTCAAATCTAAATCTATTTTTATGATCTAGTAGTAACGTAGTAAGGCTTTAACTATAAATTAGTTGACAGTGCAGTTAATAGGTAATGAAGGCACTGGCATTCCCATTTTTATATATTCGCTATGTTTGAACGTTAAATCTGTGATTGCATTTCTTGTTGGTTGGTGTTTTACGTTAAGATAATTCTATGATGGAAAGATGTTAATTAAACAAGTTTGGTACTCAACTTTATCATGTCTTTATGTTTTTCAAATGTACGTTAAGTCATATTTTTCACATCACTCTTTACTGTCATAAATGTGAATAAACGGTGCGATACATAAAATTTACTATAATTTAAACAAATTTAGTGTATATTTAAAGTATCACGCTCTCGATAAAACAAAAATTAATCACAATCAAGTATTTGGTAAATTATTACTCTGTTCCGGTAACTGAAAAAATCTATTAGTATTGCAATTTTTTTCGATATCATAAGGGCAATATCGGTTATCGTAGTAAAAAGTTTTAGATTCTTGCAGTTCTGTAACAGATCATATAGCTATGTTCATAAACTCGAATTGAATTTATAATATGGAAAATAATCATTTATATTTCAATATGTATGCCTTTTAAAATGCGATTTCTTCTATAATTATTTATTACTATTATCATTGACATTATTATGATTATGATTATTATTATAATTATTAAATTCATTCCCACAAAGAGAAATAAATTTAAATTAAATTTTTTAAATAAACATAAATGACCAAAATTTTTACAAAGCAAAGTACCGAAGACGATTCTTCTCTACAATAATACTACATAAGACTTGCCCTTTCAACAGTCGTTTTCGTTACACTCTAATAATCGTTTCTAAAATGTATGTATACAACAAGCAAATATATTTGCTTTATTACAGAATCTATTTTTAGTGATTCGTACATTTGTCAATTGAGCAGACGGTTTAAAAATAAAAAAATCACTCGAACAATAAACACACTAATGTTAAAAAGTATACCTCTCTGTTGAAAAAAAATGAACAGAATTGTTTGAGTCTGATATTCCAACCAATATATGCAGAATCAGATCGAATAAAGTCGTTTGTAAAGACAACAATAATATTGCTGAAATCTCAGAAAACTATGAACATTCTATTTAACCTATTTAAATATGTTATCCTGTCTACCTTTACAATATAAGACATATTATTCCTATAAATCCATGTATTTTGAAAACTTTTACGTACCATAAGAATATTTCATCATTGTATATGCGTGAAATCAACAGTTTCTTTTGTTGTTCGGATACAACCACATCAATGTGTGATAAGGAAATGAATTTATACACAGCAACAAGACAAATATTAACGACAGTGGTTTACTTGAGATTGCTGTACACACATACTGCGCATTATCACATTTCAAAGCGGGAGGAATGAACTTTAACGTCATTGTCCATGCAGCAAAAATATTTTTATACATTGATATTTCGATTTAAGATTTTTAGACGTCCTTGTTTCTTTTTTGCGTGGACATGGACAAGGTCGCCACATTGCAGATTAGACATTTGACGATTTTTAACTGTTCATAATTTATGCTTTGCTGTTGTGCACAAGAATACCGCCATGATTGATGGATTAGTGTAGGAACAAAATGCTGATATATTTAGCTATAAGACGTGACGTATTGACATATACTCTATATTCACGAGAAACACATTCAGTTCTGGCGAATTCCAATATCGTTTAATATTTTATTAAAAAATATGAAAGCATATCCAGAAATTTAAATTAAAATAAAAATTAAAAAAAAAAACTGAAAGTCGCTTTACTTTTATTGTTTGATCATGACAGAATGCAGTTCTACACATATTAAAGAATGATGGTCATCACCTTACCAATGTATGAAATTCTATAAGTATCAATTGTTATTGCTTTAGACAAAGACATAAAACTATAAAGACTGGGCAAAATGCATATGGGCTTTAATTTTTGAATCAGGTAATAGATGGCAGGAGACATAACAGAAATGCATTACAAAATTTTAGAAAAATATGTTATTCATATATCGCCGAAAAATGGCGGAAATACGCGGAAAAAAATATCAGCTATGATAGACATGCTCTCAAAAATCTATTCCAGAGCATTTTCTTGTACATTGTATCGATAAAAATCAACAACAACCCTTAAAAAGTGTCAGCTCTGTTAACTTATAACATAATGCTATGTCACGATATCGTGACATAACATATTTTTCCACTACCAACGCCATCTATTGAAGAAAAGTGAAAATGTAATGTCGCAACTTATTATATTATATGTCTTTGCTTTAGAGCCGGGTAATATAATAATTCAAATAAAACTTTTGGATAATGCTTAAAATGCATTCCTAAATTGCTTAAATATGACAATTTTCTCGTCTTAAACGCCGTGCAATAGACGACAATTTTACTCAAAATCGCTAAATGCATCCAAAAGCCATGAAATTTCATGTTCGATGTTTTAAATCTATGAATTTTTTTATGGAAAAATAAAAAAAAAACTATAATTAAAAAAATCTGTGTATTTTTAAAGTACCTGTCATCTCATTTTGGTAAGCTTTCCATTTATACTTGTAGTTATCCCTTAGTGTTTGTATTTAATCCGAACCATTTTTAAGCATTTCGAGTTTAAAATTAAAACGATTATAAGAAAAAAGCCAAATTACAAAAGTTTGATTTGCTAAGTAGTAGAAAAGAGCCATTAAAATTACCAAAAAGATTCTTGGAATTAAAATGATCTAGGGTGAGATAAAAAAAAACTGCAACAAAGTAAAACGCCATATTTTTTTTGAATGAAAGCAAGAAATATAGGAACAGCGTCAAATTTTAGCTTTGTTCGAATTGGTCATCTTTGGCACAAATTATGGCCTTCAAGCGGCCAATGAAACCGTCACAAGCTGCCCGAATGTTGCTCTGGTGAAGCGAGGAACCTCATTTTCTTACCATTCTTGGGTGGCGCGTGCTGAGTGCGATGGTGCTGAGTCGTGTTGGAATGTCCATGGTCTGCGGCCCACACCATCACCATGGCCGGCGCTGGAGTTCTGGTGGCCAACCGAAGGTACACATTTTCGGCTGACCTCTTTGGCAAGTAAACACTACCGTTTTGTTTGTTTACAAATTGCTGGACAACGAATGTTTTCGCATAGGAGAAAACCAAATTCGGCAGTTCACCCCTTTCGGCCAAGCGAAGCAACTCTTTAGCTCTTTTGAGTCTATTTTCTTTCTGTTGCGGTGTAAGTACTTGGACTTTTTGGAATTCATTTTTCATATTTACCGAATGGAATATTGCAACATGTTCAGCTCACGAGCCATTTTTCGGCCACCACGACGCGGGGTTCAATCAAGACGCTTCTTTATAAAGATTTATTTACATTTAAATGCTGGAGTGCTGTAACGATAGCCACTTGTGGTTTTCCACCCAAATATAAAGAAATCACACTATCACGCTTGAATTCCATCACGAATAACTTTTTTTCTGGAAAATTCTCCCCAAAATGCTTTTGTGCAATGAAATGAACTGTCACTGAAATAATTTTAGCAGCTGTCGGACGAGTGGCTTAGTATTGACAGCAGTCTGAAGTTGCTTGCAGTTTTTGCATCTCACCCTGTAATCCAAAATAGTAAGCATAGTAGCTGACCACAAAACTTGCCTTGGTCAGAAACGAGATACATTGTATGCTCTAAATTATAATTTTTATTGGATATACCTGCACCAATGAACGGATTCAAATGACTAAAAGAGCAACAGACATTATCTCAAAAACAGTTAAATGGCAAGGGCAGTGAAGAGTGAATGAAATTACTATAGATTATATGTTTAATGTAAAGGTTTTTATTTGTGAAGTGAAGAAAGCATAAACAATTTTATTAAACGCCAGAAGTCAATTTCTATTTATTAACACTCACAGCTTTTCTACACTCTCCCACAATGGATCACATTGTTAAAATGCATGGATGGCAACCAATCTGAGATTATATATTTTGTTGAATAGTATTTTTAGATTTTCGCTAAATATTGCTAATTACTCTTAACAATGGAAACCATTTTTGCGGAGAACAACAAATAAGTAAATAAAACCCACTAAACGGCTATTGAGTACCATGAAAATGGTTGCTTGCTGTAGCACGTTTGAAATACATATTTGTGTGAGCTAATATTTATTATCCCAATCACATGATTCCACAAAAAATGATAAACGTCAGAGATTTTAACATAAGTATTAATCAAATCAGTAAATTGGTCGAATAGGGCTAAATGCCCATAATTAGAGTTTTGCCAAGACCCGGGATTTATTGCATTTGGAAATGTTTGCATGTTTGTTTGTTTCGCATTTATTTTTAAATAAAGTAATTCTTCGTATACAGTCGAACACGGTTATAATAAATTTTACATTTTTCATTACTTTATGTATGCAAACAACATAAATACATAAAAAACAGTTTTACAACTCTTATATATTTTGTACCCTATAAGATTGACTCTTGAAAAGAGTCAAACAATTGAGCAATATTAATGACTTCATATGCCATAGGTTTCACTGTATATTTCTTTAGTTCCATTTCAAGTGAACTATATGGTTTGTTCACACACTGCGACATCTATAACCAGCCGCACGGATACGTTTTTTTTAGGTGCCAATGTGTCTAGATAATAAATGGTACTACCAATTGTGTACTGACTGTAGAAAATAACTTTATTCAACTAATCCAGTTCCATCAACCAGGTGTATTCAATTCTATCTGCATTGAAATCTAAGTCACATTTTCTAATTACTTAGAAATAAAGGTAGTTTATACTTTTGTAAAATGCTCTTGTCATTGCCTGGAATTGAGGAACGACGAGCAGAGTCGTCCGGTGCTGTACGCGACAAAGATATTTTGGCGAACGTGGAAACATTAACAAATACCGCTGTATTGGAATCATGGAAAATGAATGGAATGGTATTCAACTGAAACGTTAACTGAAAGCGAGGAGGGCACTAAGCAAATCAGGCGTTCACATTGAAATTAACACCTTTTTATTATTGTTATTCT